AGGGTGAGAGGAAGAGAAAATTAGTGAAAGGGAAGAAGGGAGGTTTAGGGCTTATATATATTATGGCCATTTTGAATTTGCTATAAATGAATGGTTGTCCTTAATTTTAGTGGAGAAACTTTAGGATCACTTCCATTTTTTTAGAAGGAAAAATGCATTTTATCGAACACTTATAAGTCACGGTTACATATGTTAAATATTTCTTTTTAAGGGTAGGATAGGGTTGGTGTAACCCGTCCAAGCCCAACCCCAAGCCTAAACCCACTGTTTGTAGATATTATTATCTTTGAATTTTCTCTTTCAAGTTTTTAAGGTTTTAAAACGCGTCTACACCCAAAGACAATATTTGTTAGTGGTGGACAATATTTGTTAGTGGTGGGCAATATTTGCTAGCGGTGGACTTGAATGATTATAAATGGTAGGACAATATTTGCTAGCGATGGGCTTGGATGGTTACAAATGGTAGGACAATATTTGCTAGCGGTGGACTTGGATGATTACAAATTGTAGGACAATATTTGCTAGCGATGGGCTTTGATGGTTACAAATGGTAGGATAATATTTGCTAGCAGTGGGCTTGAACAGTTACAAATGGTGTCAAAAATAGACACTGGGTGGTGTCTCAGAGACAAGACTGGGCTCTCAAATGTGTAGATTAAAAGAGAGAAACATAAAATTCTTTGGGATGTGAAAACCTCTCCCTAACATATGACTAGAAGCGTGAAACAGAAAACCCAAAGAGGAGCACTAGTGATGGAGTTGGGTTGTTACAATGAGTTGGTTTCTAACCCGACCACAAAAAATGTAAATTTTAAAAGGACCAAACTTTCATATGTTTAGACACGAATCTTTTAACTTTTTACTGATTATAAACTGATTATAAATACTATGAATCCAGACAAAAAAAACGTGACAAACTCTATCCATGTTTTATTTTCTCGGTCATTTCTAAGATATTTAAAGCTCGACAAATTTTTTACTACAAAGATGAACGATTCGAGTAAGTAAGAAGATCGTGTCGATCTATTTTTAGAAGGTGAAGGGTTAAAAATGTAAATTTAAAAAGACCAAAAAAAAAAAAAAAAAAAAACAATTGTTCCAAGTTTTGGTCTGAGGTGTAGCATGTGAGTTGGCAGTCTGGTACACAGTTGGGCTTCAGACGTTTGATCCATTGTTTTCATTGGATTTCATATGTTTGGGCCCCACATGAGATGGCTGAAAAAGCTGACATGGACCCTGATACTTTCCAAACCGATGAAAAAGCGTGGGAATTTTTTTTTGTTTTTTAGTACACGTAGACCAATTTTGTTTCAGTTAAAAGAATATAAATTTCCAAACTCGTTTCAAATGTGATATAAAATTATTCAAATTTAAAAAAAAAAAAAAAAAAAGTCAAACATGAAATAGTATCAGACCAACCCAATTTTCATGTGGTCGGGGGCATATGTATGCACACTCTCAATGTGTGTGATTCTAGTCGGTAGTGATCTCACACGAAAAGAACGAAACATTCCTTTTAAAGATGTAGAAATTTCTCCATAGAAGACACATTTAAATGCAACAATATCTAATAGAGCAGTTTTGAGCTCTAATAAATGGTATTAGAGCTAAATATTGGGCGGTGTGCTAGCGAGGAATGAGATAGTGGTGAGTTGTGTTGGCAATGAAAGGGTTGGATGGTAAAGGTATGTTACAAGGGTAAAAAGTAAATAAAATTTAGTTTTAGAAACAAATACATATTCCAAAAACCATGGAAATACAAACCATAACAGCGGTAAAAAAGTAAAAAGAAAGAACTTTACACGGATTAGCAGAGTCTCTTAAAAGCTAAAAGAAAATATACAAAATTAAAGATCCCAAAATCCCATAGAATCAACACATTAATTTACAAACATTCAAAATCAAGATCACGCCGCCGCCGGTGATTAAGATAAGAGCCAAGAAATCACAGCGTCGGATTCCACCACGGCGGCGGCGGGGAGATCCTCTCCGGCCTCCCATTCCTCCCCACCGACAAAGCTTTCCCAATTCCAAGGACTGTCCAGACGAAACGAACAACTAATCGAACTACACTCACCGCCGGTCTCCACCTCAGCGCCACCGGTAGCGGCGGTGACTTTATTTCCGTCGTCGTCGTCGTCGTCGTCGTTGTCGTTGTCATTGTCCCAATCCAAAAAGGCATCCAAGTCCAACGACATGTCGTCCTTATCGAAACTCAACGTCGCAGACCCACCAACATCTGTCGTTTTGCTAATAATTTTGTCGTTGGAACTAACTCTTTCCTCCGCTGGATCATCCACAGCCCCATAAACAGTTTTTTCTCTCGCCACCGTCTCCGCTTCCTTGCTACGCCGCCCACGGCTGCCCTTCCGCCGCGGCGGGAGGCTCAGCCGTGCCACGTCGACAATTACCGACCCATCGTCGTTGCCGCTCCGGCGCCGGATCGTGTGAATTTGACGGCTCAGGTGAGAGTTCCAGTAATTTTTAATCTCGTTGTCTGTTCTGCCTGGCAAGTGGCTGGCGATTAAAGACCACCTGAGAACATATTGAATTAAAATATTCATAATTATAATTAGAAAACGACAATATTTCCCTTTTTTTTTTTTCTTTTTTTTTTCGTATATTAAAAAATGAATTTTTATTAAAATTAATAAAACCCTACAAATTATTTTCTCCAAATTATAGAAAATTGAAAATAAAGGAAAATCCGAATAAATTATTCCCTCTATTTTCATATTCCTTTCATGTTGTCATTCTAGCCTGTCTGACATGCTTGACTTTAATCTACAAAAAGCCAAAATAATAATAATATAATAATTTATTATTATTATTTACTTTATTTTATTATTATTTTTTCTCTTCTTTGCTCGTGAACTGCATTGGGAGAATATATTTAAAATTATTAAAAAAATTATGACTTAAAAAGGATGTATTTTTGCATTAAATTTATTACCTATTATAAATTTCATTTTGAAATATATTTCAAATATTAAAAAATTAAAAATAAAACTTTATGATAATTAAAATTAAGAGTGAAATTAATTTGAGTTACCTGTTTCCTAAGGTAGAATGTAGTTTAATAATAAGATTCTCTTCATCGGTCGTAATGTTCCCTCGCACCAAATCGCACCTTAAATAGTTGATCCATCGAAGTCGGCAACTTTTCCCACATCGAAGAAGCCCTAAAAATAAAAATTTCGATAACTGGTCACTCTCGATTATAAAAATAGCTAATCTTTTTTAACCATTGGATGTACGGATGCAAGGTAAGTTCAATGGCTCGTAAAAAGAGATTAGTAAAAGAAGACGAAAAGGGTAGCGGTCTCGTTGAATAATTTGTTTTATCGGAAAAATGTAGGTGGGAAGTAACCTGCATTTTTGGGGAGGGATCTCCAAGAGCCTTCACCATTAGCAAGAATGTACTTTTTCAACCGGTCATCTTCCTCCGCCGTCCACCTCCCTTTTTTCAGGCCAACTTTCTCACAGCATGGCCGTCTCCCCATTGTCGTCGTCGTCGTTGTCGCCGTCGACGGTGCTGGCCACACACCCAGATTCAAAACGGCATCGTTTCACATGGGGTGATTTTGAATTTATAATATCTAACTAACTTGAACGAGTTGCTCGGTTTTATAATACCGCTTTTCTGAGTCTGTCTCTGTGAAAAGAAGAAGGGAGTGACAGAGAGGGTGACGTGGAGGAGGAGGTGGCAATTAAAGTTGGAAAAATGGATGTGTGGAGGAAGATGAGGCCACGACAGTGAGAGGAAAATCGTGTACTCGTGGCAAAGCGACGGTCGAGGGATGGGTGATGGGGCTTGGCTTATTCCACGTTGGCATTTATTTAAATCTTTATTTTTTTAAAAATTTCTTAGTACGTAACTTGTTTAGCCATCGTCCATCTCCATTTGTGAGCTTTTAATTCCTTCAGCTAACTATGTCTAGAGAGTCCCATTGCATTTAATAACTCTTTCCAATCCATTTATTCTTTTCAAAAAATAAATTATATATTTTAAATTAACTTTAAACTTTATAATACGCCCAAAAAGTCATTTTAATTTTAATTTGATTTTATATTCGTTCGAGATTTATTATACACAAAGTCAAAAATTTAGAAACGGATCCAATTAATTTTTAAAATTTAAAAAATATATACATACAAAATGAACGAAAAGATAACCTAAGAATTATAGTATTGATGACCGGTTTATAGATGTTTGCTATTCACGTTGCATGTCTTAAAATGGTAGGAAAAGAAGTGAAAATGAGAGGGAAAAGAATTATTAGTCTTAATGAAGGAATAAATAGTTTTTTTCCTCAAAACATTTTTTAGTAAATAATGAACTTTTATTTCAAGTATTTTTTTATATATTAAAACTATTATTTTTCTAAAATTAATCGAAATAATAATAATAACAAAAAAGGATAAAAATTATAACATGTACGACCATTAAAAGCTTATAGTAAAAATGGTGGGTTGTTCAATAGAAATGTTGAACATAAATGGTGATGGTGAAGGGTCCCAACTAGGTTGACAAATGAGCGATGTCCAATAATGGTGGAAAGGGAATGGATCATCATCATAGACCCTAAAATCATTGTACTTTACTCAAAACAAACCAAACCTCGTTTTTCTAGTAGGATGCAACAAAATACTTTTTTTTTTTTTTTTTTTTTTTAAACAATCTCTACTTAAAATCAATTTTCATTAAATAGCACGAATAAAAATATGGATAAGGCCCAAAGCCCAAGAATAAGGAAAAAAGCTCAAACCCAAAGCCCAAAGCCCAAGGCCCAAAGCCCAAAAATAGTGACATATTCGAAACTGAGAAGAAAAAAAGTGAAGTTAAAAAATCTGTACANTTTTTTTTTTTTTTTTTTTTTTTTTTTTAAACAATCTCTACTTAAAATCAATTTTCATTAAATAGCACGAATAAAAATATGGATAAGGCCCAAAGCCCAAGAATAAGGAAAAAAGCTCAAACCCAAAGCCCAAAGCCCAAGGCCCAAAGCCCAAAAATAGTGACATATTCGAAACTGAGAAGAAAAAAAGTGAAGTTAAAAAATCTGTACATGAATGGGCCAAGAAAAGCAAACCAGAATGGCGACAAAATTTCTCCGGCAGTTCCACCGCCTTGCCTTTTTATACAAACAATGAAGATTCCCCCCGACGGTCAGTTACCTGAAACTAACAGCTCAAAGCCTCATACTTCACTGCAATAGGACGTCCAAATCCGACTTGCGACAGTAAATTCCCCACCACGGCGAGATCCCGGCAAAACACCCCTTGATAAACCGACTTATTATGAGTCGAATTTGATCCCGAAATCTCCTCCTGTTTCGATTCTATTTCATCAATAGCTTTTGCATGGCTTTGCTGTTGTTGTTGTTGTTGCTGCGTTTGAATCGCCGCAGCTCTCTTTCTCTGTTTCTCTGCCGCTTCCTCGTCCATAATTGTCGTCATGATACTCGAATACCCTTTCTGCAGGAGCCTATACAGAAACAACCCCGACATTTTAGCTCTATCTCTAATGGATTCCATATCAAAATCATTACCCAATTCGCATCTATCTAGAAACCCAGTTGCCTTATCGGGCGTGTGCTTCAAGCAGAGCAATAAATGGGCTCTTTCAAGATCTGATCTTAAACACCCACGTTGCAATCCGATCAAACCATAGTAATCGACATTGTTCTTCTCACCCGAAGCAACCCTCTGTTTCAATTTCTGGATTCTCGCCGTTAACGCGCAGAGCTTCCCGGGAATTTCTCTGTACTGCACGTTGTGACGCTTCCACGCCGGACCAGGAAGCTTTCGATCTCTCAGGATCGAGTTGTAGAGGAGCTTCAAATGTTCGAGGTCGTGGAGACAATCGGGGAGGCAACGAATGGATTCGAAGAGATGGGCTCGGGTTTCGAGGGCTTGGATACAGGTCGGGTCGAGGATGAGTGTGCGGTTGCAGTCGGCGATGGAGTCGGCAGTGCGGCCGGCGGCACGATAAGCGGAGGAGCGGTGGAGGAAACATTGGGCGAGGAAGGTTTGAGGGGCGGGGCGGCGACCTTCAAGGATCTTAGTGAAGAGGCGGATAGCCTCGGAGGGGAGGCCAGCATCGAGAGCGGCGAGGGCAGCAGTTCGGCGGCGGAGGAGGAGCTTTACGTGGCTGAGGAGGGCGGCAGTGGTGTCTGCTTCGGTGGTTGTGGTAGGAAGCACTGGAAAACTGGGGAGTGAAAAGCCGTCTTCGGAACGGCCGGTGCTTTCCCGGCGTGAGGCGGCGGTGGCGAGGCGTTTGCCGGTCTGGAGGAGAACCATGGCGTCCTCTAATAGGCCCAGATGACAGGCAGCTTGGCCCAATACCACGTATCTGCACAAACCCAGGCGAGTTTTGTGAGTTAACTTTAAATCATAACCTAATTATTAAAAATAAGTTGATCAAAAAATAGATTAAAATATAATATTAATTTCTATGTGTTTAATCTTCGAAAAAAGTTCAAATGATTTTTCCCCTTTTCCTTTTTAAAATAATATTATAATAGTGAGTTGGAAATTTAAAACTCCAATTATTATACCATACTTTTTGAGTACTCATTTAAACCATTATTGCACTTTTAATTTCTTATTTAATAAGAATTTAGATCTTATGTTTAAAAATATAATGATTAAGCTTTTTAACATTAAATTTTTAATAGTAAAAATATCTTATACATAAATATAATATATAGATAAATCAGATAATTATAAAAAAGGATTTTTAACCTAAATTACTCAATCATTAAATTTTTTATAAACTATAAAAATAGGATGAAAAGTAGGTCTAAAAATATACTTATTTCTATTAATAAATTTAGAGAAAAAGTATATTATTTACTATAATTATGTAATATTGAAAATTATTTTTTTGACGTCTACAATTTAATCTATAGAATTTTAAATGTATAACAATTTAATAGTAAAATTTAGCATATAATAATTTTATTAAAATTTTAAATTATATTTTTTACAACAAAAACTAAATACTTAATTTCGAAGTAAAAAATGTTGCATAAAATATGGTTAAAAAATAATTAAATTATTATTATGATATTTATTGGAAGTATTGTTTATTCCTTCCTTTCTAAAAATAGCACAATCACTCACGATGAGAAGGAATAATTTTCTATCAGGAAAAAGAAAAAAAGAAAGGAAAAAAAAAAAAAAAAAAAA